CCTCAGCCTTCCGAGTAGCCGGAATTACAGGCATGCGCTACCATACCCAGCTGATTTTTTTATTTTGATTTCTTGGAGAGATGAGGTCTCGCCAAGTTGCCCAGGCAGGTCTCAAACCCGCGGGCTCAGGCAATCTACTCACCTCAGCCTCCCAAAGGCGTGGGATTACAGGCTGAGCCACCAAGCCCAGCTGGCCTTTTTTTTTTTTTTTTTGGAGTCAAAATCTCACTCTGTCACCCTGGCTGGAGAACAGTAGCACCATCACGGTCACTGCAGCCTCAACCTGCTGGGCTCAGACGACTCTCCTGCCTCAGCTGGGACTACAGGCACACACCACCACACCCGGCTGGAGTTTTTAATTTCTCGTAGAGATGAGGTCTTGCGACGTCACCCAGGCTGGCCTCGAACTCCTGGGCTCAAGCAATCTTCCTGCCTCCGCCTCCCAAGGTGCTGGGACTACAGGCGTGGGCCACCCTGCCCCCTACACTGTGTCCTCAAAAGTTTCAATCCGGCCGGGCTCGGTGGCTCAGCCTGTCTTCCCAGCACTTGGGGAGGCCGAGGCAAGTGGATGGCCTGAGCCTGCGGGTTTGAGACCAGAAGGATGGCTGGCGCCCAGCAGGTCGGCGCTGGGGTGGCCGTGAGCGTGCCACGGGCACCCCAGCCTGGGCGACAGAGTGAGACTTCCACTAAAAAACAAAAGTTTCACTCAACAACAGCATGTAAAAGCCAGCAGATTTTCAGAAATATCAAGAGCTCTGAATGGTCTGGAAGGCTGGGCCACGCTGGCCTGCATGTTCACACGTCCAGAGGCACCCGCCTGCGGGCGCTCCCGGTGCCCTCTGGCGGCCCCCGAGCTCTCAGGGTGGCCTCCAGCCCCCTCTTAAGCCTCGTGCACGTCTGTCCCCGGCCGGCAACCCCCGTCGCTGCCATCGTGACTGCTCCAGCAAAGGCTCAGCCAGCCCCAGGGGGCAGAGAGCTGGGCTGCCACGCCAGCCTGCGGGCGCCCCCGTTCAGGGGTGCGGATGACAGAGACCCAGCCCCTCTGGTCTGAGGGAACCGGGGCCCTTGGGGGCGGAAGCCAAGGCAGGAAACAGCAGGACCCACGGGGCCAGGCCCGCTGGCCAGGGGAGGAGGAAGGGCCCATGTGGGGGAAGGTGCGACAGTCTCCCGGCTTTCCTGGCAGGGGCCGGGCCGCCGGGGGTCAGAGGCGGGGCTCACGCCAGGGGGCGGGGCTGGCGTACCTTCGCAGTGCTTGCCGTCAGCGGCCAGCAGGAAGCCCAAGGCGCAGGAACAGCGGTAGGAGCCGACGGTGTTCTCGCACGTGTGCTGGCACAGACGGCCCGGCGAGACCCAGCACTCGTTCACATCTGCGGCCGGGCGGGCACGGAGTGGGCGGCCAGAAGCCGACGCCTGCCGCCCCC